CCTTGTGTGTGTGTGTGCGTGTGTGTGTGTGTGTGTGTGTGTGTGTGTGTGTTTTTAACCACCTTTTGCTTTAATTGCAGCCTTTAGTCTGTTGGGATGTCTCTACTAACTTTGTACGTCTAGACTTTGCAATATTTGCCCACTCTTCTTTACAGAACTGCTCAAGTTCAGTTAAATTTGATGGTGACTGTTTGTGGACTGCAGCCTTCAAGTCATTCCACAGATTTTCATTGAGGTTTAAAGGGGTCATGAACTGAGAAATCAAGTTTCCCTTAATCTTTTGACATATAAATGTCATTGTACTATAAAAACATCCTGTAAGTTTCAAAACTAAAAACTTTCTCGTTAGTTTAAAAACAGCTTTTATTGAAACCAACCTCAGAATACGACATTGTGGAATGTGCCACTTTATGATGTAATATTGTGGCTAAACAGCCTCCGCAGAAGAAGATCAACGCCTGCTTCTACATCGCTGTCTGTTTAGCCCCGCCCACTGATTCGCACATCTAGTGTAAATGAGAGCAGTAAACGCAGGTCTACACAGAAACCAAACGATAAAGATGTTTTTTTTTTTTTACCACGGATTTGTTTACAAACAAGGCACAGTTCAACGCAGGATTTTCAGAAAGATTGAAACTAAAACACTGATAGCGCACGTACATCACGGAGACGTCTATTTGACGTCTGCATTTACATATGCAAGACATTTTTTAGAGCGTTTGCTCATCTGCAATCCGTCTATAGGACGTTTCCTACCAGATGTTAAATAGACGTTTAGAAGATGTCTTTAAGATGTTTATGATTTAGAATGTATGTAAAACTGACATCTTAAAGACGTCTATCAGATGTTTGTGCATAGCAGATGCTTTCCAGATGAAGCGATCTTTAACGGACATCTTGCAGACGTACATGTGCTATCTGGGAAGATGATGCAGTGCAGACTATATTGGATCCGACAGTAATATCGCACCACACAAGTGAGAGTGACTGTATTTATTACATGGTCACTATTGCTTTATCTGTTTTTACAGATCATTTGATATGTACTGAGTATTTATTCGTTTTTGACCTAAATCAACATCCATCTATGAGGAATGTAGGCTGTCAAACATACACAACTGTTTGAGTCAATAATCCACCAGGCCTATATAACAGTGCATTCCGATAAGAGGGGTCCAAACAGGACAGAAAATAGCCTATTATTTGTAAATGTTGCTGTTTTTTAATGTAAAAATCTTCATAACATTATGTATGCCTCAGAGAACAGTACAAAATAATGAATAAGGCAGTTCATGACCCCTTTAAATACATTGAGCCCTGTGATGGATAGGCCATTTGTCCATGGTGTTTCCCTGCCTTCGGCCCGAGATACGGGATCGGCTCCAGCATCCTGCAAGCCTACAAGCAATGTGGAGAATGAATCAATTCTTTAAAATACTTTCTCTAATGTATAATTAACAAGAAAAGGAAATAATAATATTTATGTAATATTTCCATGCTTTTCCTGATCATAAATTCAAAGTTGCCTGGTATTTCCAGAGTTCCACAATCAGTAAACTTATCCAGATTCAATTGAAATTGACTAAATAATAAGCTAAAATACACCTAGAATAAATGGGAACAAGTAATTTTGTTCAGTTTATGTCAATTTATTTATAATCTTCCTTGTTACATTGTTGCTTTTCCCAGCATGGTAAAAGTTTATGGAGACAGATCAGCCTCAAAAATAACACATTTACAAAACAAAATTCATAAATTCACAGCACAATTTACATTTACAAAATCCGATTCGTAAATTCAAAACACAATCACACAAATTCAAAGCAGTCCACGCACATGTGACGATTTGCAAATGCAGATTCAACGATCCATAAATACATGTAACATCATTCATAAATGTGTGATGGAAATTAATTCAAGAAATTTATATATACATATTTGTGTAAACATTTTACATTTATTTAGGTAAGATGCATTTGTGTGAGCATTTGGGGAAATATTTATGCTTTTACTTGTGTATTTATGAATTGTGTTTTGAATTTACGAATCGGATTTTGTAAATGTAAATTGTGCTGTGAATTTATGAATTTTGTTTTGCAAATGTGTTATTTTTGAGGCCGATCTGGCTCCATAAAAGTTCGACTAATATTTTGATTCAGAGGAAATTGAGTGACACCTCTACATATTCAAAATTTGAGGGAATCTACTGTAACCGCTCAATATTTGAAACTACAGCAAAGAAGATGATCAGGTATGGCCACAGGAGTACATATGCACAAAAGAAAATAAAAAGCCTTATGGTGAAGCATAAACAGGTGAAGGATGCAAACAAAAGAAGTAGTCATGAAGGTGAAAATCAGATTTAGCCCACATTTAGCTGCGGCGTGAACGTAGCCTTTATTTCACACAGCGTTTTCTCTTGTCATATTCTTCAACAAAGAACACAAACAGAGTCTCACATTTGCATGACTTTTCACGTTTCTGTAAGTGTGATGGCAAATAATGTTTTTTATTACACTGACTGCAATTGAATGTCTTCCAGAATGAATGTGCAGATTGTAGAAATAGCTTATTTTTCTAATCCTCTTGTCATTCTGAGGAAAATGGCAATTTTTTTCCCAGAATGAGTTTTCAAATGACGTTTCATGCTGCTTTGACAAGTGAAACTCTTCTCACACTGCAGACACTTGTAAGGTTTCTCTCCAGTGTGAACTACCTTGTGAATCTGAAGGTTTACTTTAACCGTGAAACTCTTTCCACACTGTTCGCAGGTGAAAGGTTTCTCTCCGGTGTGAATTCTCCAGTGAGCTTTGAGGTTTCCTTCTTTTGAGCAGCTCTTTCCACAGTGATGACACATGAAAGGCTTTTCTCCGATGTGAATTTTAACATGATTCTGAAGGTGATTCCTGTCTGTAAAACTCCTTTCGCACTGATGACATTTAAAACTCTTCTCTCTTGAGTGAACCTTCATGTGCTTATTAAAGGGGTCATATGATGCTGCTAAAAAGAACATAGTGAGGTAGATATGTGGGGGCGTGTTCGAACGAGCCGTTTTAGGTAGGTGTGGCTAACTCTTAACTTTTATAAAGAATATCTCTTTGGATTTGAGACTTTAGTCTTTGCAACTTTACAGATCTTCTTTATGCACCAAGAGCTTGTAACACTCTAAAGAGAAAGGAAAAAATGAAATCGCATCATATGACCCCTTTAAGGTTTTCTTTATATCTGAAACTCTTTCCACACTGACCACACGTGAATGGATTCTCTCCAGTGTGAATCCGCATGTGAGTCCTAAGGTTTTCTTTGAGCCTGAAACTCTTTCCACACTGAGGGCAGGTGAAAGGCTTCTCTCCAGTGTGAATTCTCATGTGGGCATTAAGGGTTTTTTTCTGCGTAAAACTCTTTCTACACTGAGGGCATATTAATGGCTTATTTTCAGTGTGAATTATCATGAGTCTTAAGACCTCCATTTCGTGAGAAACTCTTCCCACACAGTTTACAGGTGTAAGATTTCTCTCCAGTGTGAATTCTCATGTGGGCATTAAAGGGTTAGTTCACCCAAAAATGAAAATTAGCCCATAAATTACTCACCCTCAAGTCATCCTAGGTGTTTATGACTTTCTTCTTTCAGACGAATCCAGTCGGAGTTATATTAAAAATTGTCTTGGATCTTTCAAGCTATTTAATGCCACTCAGCGGGTGTTGCATGCATTAGCCCAAAAGAAGTTAAATAAAAAGCACCCA